AGTGCACCTGGATACCATATGGCTCATCAGTGGGCCTCTCTCCCTGTCCTCTCTCTCAGGAAATGAGCCACTGTGGGCCAGGCTCAGACACAATTACTCCAGGTCGACTTGTGGAGGACCAGGCTGCTCCTCCTTACTCCTCACTGTTCACAGGAGCAAAAATAATACATGAATGAATGGCAAGAGGGAGAGAATCGGGCACAGGAAACACTAATAGAGTAGTTATAAAGCATTGTGAAATCCCTGTCTTCAGCGACAGATTGCATAAACAGTTTAATGTTGTGTTATTTGGTTCATTGTTATTGTTGTTTAGCTCATTGCTGTGTTATTTGGCTCGGCTGATCAGGAGGAGAAGTTAGCTTCTATGGTGGGATGAAACTCAGGTCTTCTTTTTTCCTGATTGATTGGAAAACCCAGGATTGCCTCTACTGCTGCTATTTTATAGCCAATAGCGCTGGCAGCATGCTGTAATTAGTGCTTTGGAAATCTGGCAGTCTCCTACCTGCAAAGGTGAGGACAGTGTTTGTTTTCTCATGAATCGCCGGTTCATTTGAAGGTAAAAGCAATGTTTATGACCAAACAGTATGGTTTGACTGTAGCTGGCAGCAATCAGCAGTTTTAATTCCAAGGACACATTAACTGGCTGGCATGGACTCAGCAAGCTTGAAGAGGAGAGGAGGAGAGGAGAGACAGGGATAGTGGGAGAACCTCTTGGGGGACAAATAGGACAGAAAAACCGGACGATAAACAGAAAAAGAGACAGGCAGAATGCAGTGTTTACAGACGTTATGTACTCATATTTTTATTGCCACATAAGAAAGTTGAATATAGAACACTGATAGCAATCTGTAGATGACAAATTAATATTTTTCAACATCAAATTAATTGTTGAAAAAAAGAAAGAACTCCAGTCAATCCATAAACTAAAAAAGACAAATACTATAGTAATATATTCTCTGACAAAACGTTGCTATATTTCATTATTTATATCTATTTATAATTTAACAGTACACAAAAATACAGCTACCCCATAACTGAACCTCACAAATCATAGGTCAGGACTGGCAACAGTGGGGCAGCGCTGTATTATTTTAGCTACTGTGCAAACAAGAGTATGGGATAGGGTCTATAATAAAATATTATGCAGTGTATAAATATACCCATTTTCAGTGGGCCTCTCTCCCTGTCCTCTCTCAGGTAAACACTTCCAATTTCTGTTCTGAGTATAAGCCTTCCTATGTTTTAGGCTGGCTCGATGTAACCTGGTATACATACTCAGTACAACCAAATCATACAAACATAACATTCACAGACAAATACATTTTAAAATGTAAATTTGGTTGGGTAATCTGTAGGGTTGCAAAATTCTGGAAACGTTCAATAAATTCCCAGGTTGTCCCGAAATCCCAGTTGGACGGTTCCCGGAATAAGGAGGGAATAAGCAGGAAATCCGGAATTATCCAAGCAGAATTTATGGAAAACCAGGGACTTTATCAAAAGTTCCCGGAATTTTGCAACCCTAGTAATCTCACTGGGTGACTCAATCGATATAGTCCTACATTGAATGATCAGTTTGAGATGTGTTGATACATGTTGCAGTAATGAAACATGGCACTGGGATCGATAGAACAGAAGTCTAGAATAATAAGGGCCTCAGAGTCTGTCTGGATGTAGATAATCAGTTGATGTTTCATTCAGTATTAAACATTTTTAGAAAATATGCCATTTAGCAGACGCTTTTATCCAAAGCGACTTACAGTCATGTGCGCATACATTTTTACGTATGGGTGGTCCCGGGGATCGAACCCACTACCCTGGTGTTACAAGCGCCATGCTCTACCAGTTGAGCTATTAGACGCTGACAATAGGACATGATGCCTGTCACTCTATCGCTCATTATAATCTTTTATAAGAATTTAGAGAACTTCCATTATTTTTCAGTGCTTACAATCCTGATACCTTTACTGATGCTGATTACTGTGTGTGTGTGTGTGTGTGTGTGTGTGTGTAGGCTGCAGATACCATTTTATGTATTCTGATTTTATATTATGAATGTCAATAATGGTAAGTAGTACTGTCAGGTATTTTAATCAGGTCAGGTTTAATCTCGTCAGGTTTATATATCTTATTGATTGAATGGGAAAGTCCTCATCCCCCCTATACCGAGTTTCCAAGATTAGTTTTTATGTTGAGTTTCCAAGTGGAGTTTCTCCCCGTTACAGCAAGCAGCTGAAAGAATGTAGAGGATTTAGATTATTTTTCTCTCTCTCTCTCTCTCTCTCTCTGTCTCTCTCTCTCTCTCTCTCTCTCTCTCTCTCTCTGTCTCTCTCTCTCTCTCTGTCTCTCTCTCTCTCCACAGATTAATTTCAGTCACTTCCTTTCTGAGATGATAGGCGCAAGATGGTAATTATATGTAATTATCTCAACTTCCTCACTTTAATGTTGTAGGAGGAAAATCAAATCAAACCACCAAGTTAAGTTTGACAGAAAGAGAGAAGAAAGGTGTAGTGGCTTCAAACAACATTCTAATGAGTCACTTCCTTTAGACACCTTTACAAGAATGGTTTCAAAAAGGTTTCAGGTTTCCAAGAAAATGCTTGAGATAAAACTTCTTGGTTGAACAAAAATCACATTTATTATACACACAAAATATTTCTGGGTTCACACAGTTCCTTAATGTAGCCTCTTTGAGTGACAATCGGTACTGTACAGTTTTCCCTCAATTGCTCCCTCAATCAGGGGTAGTTTATGTTGATTGCTCCCTCAATCAGGAGTAGTTTATGTTCAAGCCATATAGAAATCCAGGGTGATTGTTGTTATTAACGAGCAACACAATACTACACAATACTAAATCATATTCAGCCAGGCAGTTAATACAAGACTTCAGCTGCACGCCTGGCAGCCCTGATTGTATCGACCACCCGGCTCCTTCGATAAATTTACTACCGTGAGGCAAGAGCAGAGCCGGGGAACGATAGGGTCTGATTCCACTAATTAGGCCACTCACACCTTCCAGTCTTAATTTCACTCCTTTCTGCCGAGCAGAAACAATTTTCTTTGGCAGCAGGTCAATCAGGAACTAGGCTGGGTAGGCAGGAGCTGGCTGGCTCGGTGATCTGCTAATTTCAGACACCTGGCTTTAGAGGGGAAGAAAGGGTCAGATGTGATGAGGGGGAATTAGGCTCCATTCCAATATCCAGACCGGCACACTTAGAATGAGGGAATGCATTGGCATGGCCATGTATTCTAAATGGGGGCTAGTGTGGAATGGTCTGCTAGGGACCATATACACTCTGGCTCTCACAGAGTGGGCCGAATCAAGCCAGGTAAAACTATGGAAATGATAAAGCTATGATATCATAACACTACTATAAGGACAGTCCTGAGAAGGCAATAATTGACAAAGTAGTAGTATACTACACTAGTAACACTCCAGTATCTCCTGCCGTCTCAGCGTCTCAGAGCTGTATGACTGCTACTTCAGAGTGAGAGCAAATCCCGCTGACCAACTGTGCTCTGAATGCACTCCGAGTCTGCTGCTGGGAAGAACACAGTGTGAAGAATGACTCTTCTCTATTAAGTTATGCTGAGTGCAGAATGCTGCTCAGACAAAATATGTTCTGCTTGAGCTGCTTTGCCTGCCTCCTCTGCCTGCCTGTAACCTTCCCTGCCCGCCTGCTTCCCTGCCTGTCTGCCTGCCTGCCCGCCTGCCTGTCTGCCTGCCTGCCTGCCCGCCTGCCTCCCTCCCTGCCTGTCTGTCTGCCTGCCTGCCCGCCTGCCTCCCTCCCTGCCTGTCTGCCTGCCTGCCTGCCTGCCTGCCTGCCTGCCTGCCCGCCTGCCTCCCTCCCTGCTTGTCTGCCTGCCTCCCTCCCTCCCTGCCTTCCCGGTGCACTGCTCAGGCAAAATATGTTCTGTTTGAGTTCCTTTGCCTGCCTGGTTTGCCTCCCTCCGTGCTTGCCTCCCCATCTGCCTTCCCGCTGCTCTGAGAGCAGTGTGAACTTTAATGTTGACGGTATGGGGTTCATATTTCCAGATTTCCACATAGCTGGATTAATTCAATTGAGTATTGTGATAAGGCACATCCTGAAAACATTGATGTTATTTATCATGGCTTACACAGTGGAACCACCAGCAGAGTGTAGCACATGGGAATGTGTGAGATTACTCCTCAGCCTGAAGTGTCGCCACTTGTGCCAGCGAATAGCTAGCTTTTCGTGTGGCGCCGACCGGTAAATCGCTTCAGGAGGGTGGTCACGTGTGCTAGCAAGGCAGAGGTCCTGAGTTCGCGCCAGGTATGGGCTGAATCAGAAGGAAGTGGGACTCGCTAAGCAAGCAGCGTGACGTCCTTTACAGTGGTGCCTAGTGACTCGGATCTACAGTTGCGCTCAGCTCAAAGCTGGGGTCGCTGTTGAGTAAGTTTGAGGGGTGAATGTAGCACATGGGGATGGGTGAAACTTACTCCTCAGTCTGAAGTGTCCCCACTTTGGCCAGCGAATAGCTAGATTTTCGTGTGGTGCCAACTGGTAAGACGCTTCAGGAAGCTGGTCATGTGTGCTAGCAAGGCAGAGTTCGCGCTAGGTATGGGCCGAATCGGGAGGAAGTGGTACTCGCTAATCAACCAGCATGAAATCCTTTACATGAGCAAAGAAGAGAAAGAAAAGAAACACATGTTGTTTACAAAGTACATGGATGCAGTATGCTTTCTATAGGCTGAAATTTGACTATAGATTCAGCTTGTATAGATTTTACTGTTCAATTTGCTTGAAGAGGTTTTGTCTTCTACTTTTAGACCATTTCATATTTGGATGCCCTAGTAACAGTATTTTCCACAAACGCCAGAGTGAAGAGGTGGCCAAAGGTCAAGAGGACACAGTCATACAAAAATACAAACAGAAATACAAATGTTGGTACATCATATAAATCATAATACTGTGTAGCAATAATACACGTGAGGGATGACACTTTCAGGGGGAATATCTCTCAATAGGGTTTCATAGTTCTTATCGGGGCCTCGCCATACACTGTAGAACAGAAACGATTCAGAACCATTTTATCTCTCTTCACATTTTCTTTACCTGAAGGTTGTCTTTTCTCAGCGGGATAGAGAGAATAAAAGAGAGAGAAAACGGGAAATATAAAAAGTTGCCAGTATCACTACAGATGGCCATGGTCTGTAGTCACATCTTTAAATATTGGATCACAGACTCTCTGTGATTCTCTGTGTGAACAGCATTGGGACTGATGAGTCTTTCAGGAGCACAGTACTATCCTCCAGATGATGCTTCAGCCTCCTTGCCTTCGGGCCAGCTGTGATCAAGTAATATACAGGACAATGGCCTCCATTCTCTGTGTTGATGACCAAGAGACTTTTCAAGGCTACAAGCACAGAACAAAGCCCATAATGTTCGTAGCCATAGCCCATAGCCCATAGCCCTAAAACTGTGGCTGATTCAATGGCTTTGTAGGAGAGAGTCTCAGTAATGAATGCATTTTCCTTTCCCCACAGTTTGTTGTTTCCCTGCTCAATGTTTTAGCCTCAGCCATTGTGGTGTCCATAGATCTCATATTGCTTGTCAGATTTGGTAATGCAATCCATGGCAATCTCATGTTTCCTTTTGCTGTTGCTGTATTCACATTTCACTGTCATTGTTCTCTGGATAAGAGCGTCTGCTAAATGACGTAAATGTAAATGTAATTGTTCTATAACGTTATCATTACACAGGAGATATTATAACACACACAATGATTTTGATACTTCTGTTGGACGTTGTCATCGTTATACAATCCCGCCCCCCTCCCCTCTGACTGACGACCTGTGGAGGATTGACTGACAGTCACATGTGCAGTGATCCACTCATACTGGACGGCACACGCAAGCACACTGCCACACCACCAGGGCGCACTGTTCTGGCCCCCGCTCCCAGAAAGACACAAAACAACCAGGGCCTTACACACCACCATCTCTGTCCTCTCCCTCTTTGCCTATTAGTTGACTCTGCTTTGGGCAACCATCGTCCCCCTCTCCCACTCTCTCACACAGTTACCTCCGTCTTACTGTTGGTCACAAAGTAAGGCTGAGTGGGCAGGAAGTGCTGGCTGTGGCTCTGGGAGCGGGACTGACTGTGCAGCTTGTTGATCTGCTCCACCGTACACTGGGGCCTCTTGGAACCGTAACCCTTCCTCCTGCCTACCGTCTCAGTCCCATCCCAACCCTTCAGACCCATCCCTCCCCCCATCCCCCTGGGGGCTGCGATGGTATTGGAGCTGTAGGCCAGTGGGTGGTGTTGTTGCTCTTGATGTTGGTGGTGGTGTTGTTGTTGGTGGTGAGGCCCGGGAACCGTCCCGGTGTGGCGGTGAGGCCCTGGGAAAGTCCCTGTTCTAGTCATGCTGGACATGGTCATGGCTCCTGAACCTTTATTACTGACTATGTCGCCACCACATCCACTGCTGCTGAGTCTTTGGGGCTTCTGTGCGTTCATCTTGGGCGCGGTTGGCATGGTGGAGCCCTGGTGGAAGCTGGATAGAATGGGCAAGCTGCTGGGCATCTCTGTGATGTAGGTGGCCACGGGCTCAGGGCCCAGGGAGCCCAGGGGGCTGATGGGACTCATGGGATTGTGGGCCATGGGGTTGTTGTGGACCATGGGGTTGTTGTGGGTCATGGGGTTGTTGTGGACCATGGGGTTGTTGTGGGTCATGGGGTTGTTGTGGGGCATAGGGTTGTTGTGAGCCATAGGGTTGTTGTGGGACATGGGGTTGTTGTGTGCCATGGGGTTGTTGTGGGACATGGGGTTGTTATGGGACATGGGGTTGTTGTGGGACATGGGGTTGTTGTGGGTCATGGGCTTGATGTGAGACATAGGGGTTTTGTGGGACATGGGGTTGTTGTGGGTCATAGGGTTGTTGAGGGCCATGGGGTTGTTGTGGGTCGTGGGGTTGTTGTGGGCCATGGGGTTGTTCATTGGATTGTGGGTCATGGTGGGGTTATTAATTGGGTTGTGGGAAATAGGGTTGTTGGTCATGGGGTTCATGTGTTGGAGGGGGAGGCCGCCTTTGGATGGCAGTTCCACCATCAGACGCCGCTTGTTGTAGAAGTCACCGTTGGCCTTGGCCGCTGCATGGGGATAGAGGCAGATGCACATGTTTAGGAGGTTTTGTAGTTTATAACACTACAGTAACTACGGCCCTATAGCACATTTGGTAGCCTATATATGCTCCCAAAAGTAATCTCTTTATTTACAAGGTCAACCTTTCAAGTTTTTGCTGGTTGTGCACTTACCATTACCTTTAACTCTGGTTCTTTCCTGTAATACCATACCTGTCACACCCTGATCTGTTTCACCTGTCTTGTGCTTGTCTCCACCCCCCACCAGGTGTCTCCCATTTGTTCCCATTATCCCCTGTGTATTTATACTGGTGTTTTCGGTCTGCCTGTTGCCAGTTCGTCTTGTCTCGTCAAGCCTACCAGCGTGTTGTTCCGTACTCCTGTTTTTTCCTAGTCCTTGTTTTCTAGTCCTCCCGGTTCCGACCTTTTCTGCCTGCCCTGACACTGAGCCCGCCTGCCATACCATTCAGCCTGCCCTGACACTAAGCCCGCCTGCCATACCATTCAGCCTGCCCTGACACTGAGCCCGCCTGCCATACCATTCAGCCTGCCCTGACACTGAGCCCGCCTGCTATACCATTCAGCCTGCCCTGACACTGAGCCCGCCTGCCTGATCATTCAGCCTGCCCTGACCTCCAGCCTGCCTGCCGCCCTGTACCTTTCGGACTCAGACCTGGTTTACGAACTTCTGCCTGTCCTTGACCTGCCTCTTGCCTGCCCCTTGTATTTTAAGACATATCAGAGACACGAACGATCTGCCTCCTGTGTCTGCATCTGGGTCTCATCCTGTGTCGTTATAATACGAAAACAAACATGGAGCATTGTTCAGATCATAAGGAATCCACATACTTCAGCCATGCCATTCAGGCTACATTCATCACATGCCAAACTTTATTACGAATGTTAGTTTCCTGAAATAAAACATGTTTTTTACTTCACCCTGCTGGAGGAGAAACTTGCTCAGAAGGAATTATATTTCGCTCAACCTTTCCAACGCTCCTGGAATCACCCAGACAGCCTCCAACCCTCAATGTAACACATATTGCCTTGGTTCAAACCCTGTGATAGCATACAGACACTGCAGTCTACTACTTCTACACAGGTACTGTTAATGCTGTAAATGAGGAGAATTTAAATTGAACTCTGCTGATCAATTGATATGAGGACACTTCTAGGCAGGTGAACGTTATCTAGGCTATAGCATACTCTGCCGCAGATGCTTCCTGTCTCCCAAGACCTGTGACCTCCAGCTAGCCTACATCATTCAGTTCAGTCACGTTAAATTGACCTCATTAATTTCTCTGTCGTTCATGTCGGCAATCTGTAATCTCTCTTATCACTGAGAAATGTGTCCTCTTTAATGGGTGATTCACATTCCCCAGTTCACTCCTTACTCGTTAGCCGTAGCTGTTGAGCAATGAGCATCCTTGTGTGACTCTCAGGTTATGGTGGATGACCTGTCACTTTTCACATCCTTGAAGATAAAGTTAACACACTAGGGGAGTTTGCTTTGCCGCTGCAACTATACATCTAGTTTATCGCTCTGCTCTCCTTCCAGTGCAGGAAAACGAGCCAGGCGAGCATGGTGAGGGACTGTGAACGGTGAGCTCGCTTCGCGTCTGCCTGCCTGCCTGGCTGCAAGTAAACCGTCTCTGGGATCAAACTCAGTCAGGCGACAGATAAATCATTCTAGCAACAGTCAGCTCAATGGCACACACACATTCATAGGGAAATGTGTGACTACAGATAGACAGTGTAAGTTCCTCCGTCACAAAAGGCCACAGACATACAGAAACATTTCAAATGTGGATGCTCGTCGGGACTGTAGGGAGTAAATTATGTGTCAACTCCAATTAGGCTACAATAGTATCTGAGAAATGCCAAGTCAGACATAGCCTAACTTTCGGTCTCTACGGTATCGGGGTGGTGGAGTAGTGAGACACAAATGTATTTGCAATGCAATATACTGTAATTGGCCATTTGCTCCAGTGAAAGATAGAGATATCCAAACCGTCTTCAGGGTTACGTTTTGGGTACTGGGTCCCTTTTATTAGTTCGTCTCTCCATGTCTGGTTTTAAAATCCAATAGTGTGACCTTATAGATTCGCTTGGGGACATTGCAGATAGATATTGATTTGCAGAATTGTGGCTTATCAGCTCTCAGCCTGAGGATTCTGTAGCTACCATTGGGAATGTGAATAAAAGGGGAAAACAACACTGTGGTTTCAGACTAGAGTGTTTCTCTCTTTCCTTTAGGCCACTTGTGATGACTGGAATAAGGGCAGAGCAATATGGAGGAGAGAAGACAAAGTGCTCAGTTAAAGTTCAGATAAATGCAATAACACAGCTCAAATGAAGGCACTATTTATCGTCGCTGTCTCTGTGCCTCTCTCTCTCTGTCTCTGTCTCTCTCCCTCTCTCTCTTTCTGTCTCTGTCTCTGTGCCTCTCTCACTCTCTCTCTCTCTCTGTCTCTCTCCCTCTCTCTCTTTCTGTCTCTGTGCCTCTCTCTCTGTCTCTGTCTCTCTCCCTCTCTCTCTCTCTCTGTCTCTGTCTCTGTGCCTCTCTCTCTCTGTCTATGTCTCTCTCCCTCTCTCTATTTCTGTCTCTGTCTCTCTCCCTCTCTCTCTCTCTGTCTCTGTCTCTGTGCCTCTCTCTCTCTGTCTCTCTCCATCTCTCTCTTTCTGTCTCTGTCTCTGTGCCTCTCTCTCTCTGTCTCTGTCTCTCTCCCTCTTTCTCTCTCTGTCTCTGTCTCTCTCTCTCTCCCTCTCTCTCTGTCTCTGTCTCTGTCTCTGTCTCTCTCCCTCTCTCTCTTTCTGTCTCTGTATCTGTGCCTCTCTCTCTCTGTCTCGGTCTCTCTCCCTCTCTCTCTTTCTGTCTCTGTCTCTCTCCCTCTCTCTCTTTCTGTCCCGCTCGGCTGCCCTCGTTATTCTGCGTCTCCACGTGCATATCATCAGTTCATGACTCCAAGAGATGGAGATGGCCTCTTGGGACTATGCGTCCATTGCTCTCTAAAGCAGATTAAAATCATTTCCGTGCCATCTCATTGGAGAGCGCCTCTAGAATGAGAAGCTATCAGTTAGGCTGTAGTCAATGCTCTGAATACAGGGGGTGGGAGACCCTCGATTACAGACATTAAATCAGATAGAGTCCTGGGGAGCGGAAAGGTGAAGATGAGAAAAGGAGAATCACATTGAGATTAGGCTTGGAGGTAGTGGGGGAGGAGGATGGGAAGGAGGGGAGGAAAAGGAGAGGGGGGAGAGGAGGAGGAGGAAGATATAAGCAAATATAGGTCTCTCTCTAAGAAGATTGCTGTTATTATGGACCTACTCCAGTATGCAGATAGCCTCATGAATCCCAAGCTGAATAGATGTGGCTCAGTAGTCAAACATAGGAGATATGGGCCATATCAGTCAACATTTCCTGTTCTTAATTGTCTCAGATTGAATAGCTAATGGTTATATAAACTGTGTGGCATAAACACAAAACAGAAAAACACTTCATCTTCTCTACTCCCTCTGAATGCTCCAGCATAATGGAGTGCCTTTGTGTAAACAATCACAACAATCTGTTCAAAATAAGTCAGGGACTGAATGGTAAATTGATGGATTGGGAATTGCATTTAAAATTAAGAGCTTTACTCCTACATTTAATATTTCAATGAGAGATGTGGGTATTTTGCATTCCCACAATGTTGTGTTTTTCCAGAGGTAGCGACTATGATTATACAGTACTCAGAGCCAGATGGATCCCATCATTTTGTTTCTGGGGGAGCTGCCTTTAGCATACTAAAGAAGAAGACAGCACGACTTCTACTCAAATAAGTTGTTGTTTGCTTTGCTCGTATGGTATTATGGTATTGAAATTGAAAAGTGGTTTAGACATCAAATATGGCATCAGTGAAAGGAATGTATAGAATGTCAATCGCTAAACAAGTTGATTCTGCTTTTGATTGTGACTGTGAGACTTTTACATTAGACACCATTGGTCTTTAGTTCCAGCGAAAGTGGGCAATATACAGAAACCCTTCATGAAATGTAGTGTATATACAATGGTGATATATAGAAATGGTATTTGATCAAGCTTAGTCATTGGGCCATTCTGGCTTGAACAAGGCTTACTCGTCCTAGGCTTACTTACTAATTTAGTCTAACCCGGGCCTCTACAGACACAGACAGCGTCGACAAAGCAGGACAAAGCTGATAGAGCAGACACTCACCTACGAGCTTGAGCGAGGCGTACTTGTTGAGTTCCTTCCCAGGTTGTTGCTGTTCATAGACGTGGGCCAGCTGGCTCAGAGCAGGGTAGGGGTGTGGCTGGCCCATGGTGGGACCTGGACCTACGTTGTTCATCTGACCTCCCTCTGTAGAGACAAGACACAAAATGGAGTAATGTTAGAGGGCTTTGGTACCAACATGGTCTCATTACAATAAGTCAAGATAGTGACATTTAACCATTGTAGTTATATGTCAATAACACTAAAATATTAGGTGTGTCACTTGTGGTGACATATTACACATCTATGAACAGCTGTTCTCACTTTACAATACACATGCCTTGTATCATAACCCAGCAAGCGTGGCTACATTGTCGCAGTGTCGGCCCACCATGGGCCAAAATAATGAACCATTGGTAATATTGATGTTTCTATAGAGTAAATACATGACCGGTCTGATAGTGTCTTTTTTCTGGTGATAATGACAGTAAAAAAAGAAAAGAGCAAGCTCTCCTTTGGAACCATCCTCCTACTGTAATGGAGATGAACATTAATTGCCATCTTACTCAAGGTAAAGTGATACTTTATAAGAGACTACGTCCCTCGAAAGCCGGATTAAGCAAGAGAGAAGGAGTGGAGAGTGAGCGAGAGAGAGAGAGAGCGTGAGAGAGAGAGAGAGAGAGAGAGAGAGAGAGATAAGAGAGAGAGAGAGAGAGAGAGAGAGAGCATGTATAAGAGATCCTGAGAGAGAGGAGAAGAGCCCTGATAAGGAAAAGGAGAGAGGAGAGAAGAGGAGAGTAGAGAGAGAGAGGAGAGAGAGAGA